GAGGGTGGGTAGAATAAAGTGAACAGTTTTTGTATGTGATCAGTTAAGTTGTTGTATTAGTCAGCTTTGGTTTACTATGAAAGAAATACCTAAGTCAATTATCTTATAAAGAAAGAAGGTTTATTTGGCTTCAATATTCTGGAGGTTTCAGTCCAAGATTAGGCAACTCCATGGCTTTGAGCCTCCAGTGAGGGTACCATATGGTCACGGTGGGAAATACGTGTCAGAGCAAACCAGTCATTTCATGAGTTAGGAAAACAGAGAAAGGACAGGACCTCACACAGGAGCATGTCCCCCAGTGACATAAATGTCTTTCACTAGGCTCCACTTTAAAACAGTCAAAGTACTTAACAACAGTGCCAACTTGGAGCCCAACCCTTTCACACATAAGTCTTCAGAGTACACTACCTATATTCCAGCCTTAGCAGTTATTAATGCTTGATTAGCCTGTTATGAATATAAGGTGTTTTAGAATAGTCTTATGGTAACAATAAAGAAAAAAACTATAGTAAATACACAAACAGTAAAAAGTAAGAAATCAAAGTACACCACCAGAATAAGTAAGCTAATCACAAAGAAAGACAGCAAAAAAGGAAGAAAGGAACAAAGGAGATGCAAAACAACTAGAAAACAGCAAAATGACAGTAGTTAAGTCCTTACCAGTGAAAAATTACCTTTAATGTACATGGATTAAATTCTCCAATCAAAAGAAATACAGTGGCTGAATGGGTTTTAAATAAAACACAACTATATGCTGCCTATAAGAGATAGACTCACTTTGTATATAAAAATATACATAGACTAAAAGTGAAAGATTCCATACAAATGAAAATTAAATGAGAACAGAGGTAGTTAGATAAAACTGACGTTAAAACTATAAAACAAGACAAAGAAGATAATTATGTAGCTTTAAAAAGGCTCAATTTATCAAAAGGATACATATCATCTATAAATATATGAGCATCCAACATAGAAGCAGTTAAATATATAAAGCAAACCTTAGTAGATATGAAGAGAACGGTACACTATATAATACCATGAGGGTAGGGAACTTTAACATTTCCATTTCAGCAATGGACAGATCAATCAGGCATAAGAATGAATAAGATAATATCCAACTTTAGGCCAAATGGATCTAAAAGGACATTCATACAACAGCAACAGAATATACATTTGTCTCAAGCAAGAGAATATTCTCTAAAAGGGTAGAACAGGTTCTGCCTGGAAGCGAGGGGAGTTGGGGGGAGAGGGAGGGGATTGGGGCAGGGGGCAGAAATGGCCCAAACAATGTATGCACATATGAATAAATGAGTAAAAAAAGAGAGAGAATATTCTCTAATACTGATCACATATGTCAGGCTACAAAACAATTCTTCACAAATTTAAAAGTCTAAAATCATATCATATCAAGTATATTTGCTGACCACAATTAGGATGAAACTAGTTATCAATAACAGGAGGAATTTCATAAAACTCAAAAATACATGAAAATTAAACAACACGCTCCTAAACAAACAATGGGTAAAAAAGAAAATCTGTAAATGAGCATGGAAATACAACATACCAAAACTTATAGAACACAGCAAAGGCAGTTGTAAGACAGAAGTTTATAACAAGGAATGTCTACATCAAAACAGAAGATCTTGACTTACTGTTAAACATCAAGAACTAGAAAAAGAACAAAATAAGCCAAAAGTTAGTGGAAGAAAATAAATCATAAATATCAGAAAAGAAATGGAGACTAGAAAAGCAAATAAAAATATCAATGAAACTAAGTTAATTTTTGAAAGACAAACAAAACTGATAAAACTTAGCCAGACTGAGAAAAATAAGAAAACATACATTAATAAAATTAGAAATAAAGCTTACATTGACACTAATGCCACAGAAAAACAGGGATAAGAGACTACTGTGAAAAATTACTCACCAATATATTGGAAAGCCTAGGAGAAACATATACAACCTACCAAGACTGAATCTTGAAACTTTGAACAGATCAATAACAAATAAGGAAATTGAATCATTAATAAGTAATTTTCCAACAAAGAAAAGATCAGAATCTGATGGCTTCACTGCAAAAACATGGCAAACATTTAAAGAATGAATACCAATCCTGCTCAAATCACCTTAAAGTGGATTAAAGACTTAAATGTGAGACCTGAAACTGTAAAATTACAAGAAGAGAACATAGGGAAAAGATTCACAACATTGGTCTGGATGAGGATTTTTAAAATTTAGCCCCAACATGCAGACACTTTTGTGCATCCCAAAAGCAAAAATGGACAAATGGGGTTGCATCAAGCTAAAAAGCTCTTCACAGTCAAGGAAATAATTAACAGGGGGAAGAGAAAAACATATAATGAGAGAAAGCTTCTGTAAGGCATACATCTGCTATTAGAATAATAACCAAAATATAGTTTCAAAATATAGAAGAAACTTTAAATCTCTATAGAAGAAAAACAAATAATGTGGTTACAAAACAGGCATAGGACCTAAATAGAAGACATATATTGCTAATAGATGCATTTTTTAAAATGTTGAACATCATAGGGAAATGTTTGCATCATTAAGGAGAGGTAGGCAACAAGAGGCCTGCCAAGCAGGTGGCCAGTACTACAGCCCATGGACCAGGCCATGGAAAAGCAGCAGTAGGTCCTCAGCAGCCAAGACAAGAAGAAGTAAGTCCTAACCATGCAGGGGACTGGGTTGCTATGACTTCCCAGCAGCATAAAGCTTTTTGCAGTGTTTCATACCTTTGGAAACCCTGATGTATTAGCCAGAACATGCTTTTCAATGGGACCCACGAAGCAACTGAAGAAAATGTTTGAAACAACAAGATTGCTTGCAATGGTTTTGTGCCACTGTGCTTCGTGTTTGCCCCGTATATCGCTCTTTGGGTATAGGCTGCCATACACGCCATGCGCAAGGGATGCAACACTTAAACGCTACTGCTCTCTCCTAACTTGAAAGTCTGAAACTGGAATGTTGACGGTCTGTTTTGAAGCAGGCTGTTCGAATCTTCACTCCAGAGGCAACTGCAACAACAGCCTTAGACCATTTTCTGAACTGGTAAAGCAACACACTGGACTAAACTGTTAAGTGATTGTAGCTTTAAATTCACTGTGTCACTAACCTGCTCTTCTCAAAATAAGGAGATTTTTAATCATTGCCAATTGTAAATTTTTACCCAGTTTTTTAATCTTTCCAAAACAGCTTTTGAAATGTGAGTATATAAGAGATAAACCTGCATTGTGAGATATAGTCAGCTTATTTGGCTCCTTTTAAATGTCTACATTTTTAAAGATATCTTTTCTTAATTTTAAAATGAGAAACTTTATACTTGAAGCCTAAATTTTCTTACTACATGTAATAAAAATAATACAGGTAATAACAAAATAAACCCACCCCCGGGGAAAAACACACAAGCAGCCATCACCTCACATCTGTTAGAATGGCTAATATCAGAAAGACAAATGATAATGCATGCTGGCAAGGATGTGGAGGAAATGGAATCTTTGTGCACTGGTGGTGGGAACGTAAATTAATAATCATTATGGAAAACTACATGGCAGTTCCTCAAAAACTAAAGATGGAATTACCATATGGCACAGCAATCCCACTTCTATATACTTATCTAAAAGATTTGAATCAAAGTCTGGAGGCATGGCTCAAGAGGTAGAGTGACTGCCTAGCAAACACAAAGAAAGCCCTGAGCTCAAACCCCAGTAGCACCAAAAGAAAAAGAGGAATAATAAAAGATTTGATGTGATGCTGATTTCTTTAGGGGCTGCAGTAATTTGCATTCACACTAACAAGTTTGAAGGTTCCTTATCCCTGCATCCTCACCAGCAATTTTGTTTGTTTTCTTGATGATAACCACTCTGACTGGGGTGAGATGGAATCTCAAAGTCATTTTCAGTTGTATTTCCTTTATAGCTAAGAATGTTGAACATTTCCTCCTGTATTTAATGGCCATTTTTGTTTCTTCTTTTGAGAACTGTCTGTTCAATTCATTTGCCATCTATTTATTGGATTATTTGTTGAAAGTGGTACTCTGAAGATTAGCTGTTCATGTCACAGGTAACCTGTAAACACTTGGATTTTCTTTGTTATTATGATATAACAAACTTCCTCAAAACTCAAAAATAAAGATTTGAATCAGTATCTGCACAGTCATGTACAATGCAGCAGTATTCACAATAATCAAGTTACGGAATCAAACTATGCATTCATCGTTGGATGAATAGATATAGAAAATGTGGTATACATACATAATAAAATACTACTCAGCCCTTAAAAAGGAAGAAATCTGTCATTTGTAAAAACATGGATTGAAATAAAGATTATGCTAAATCCAACAGGCCAAACACAGAAAGACAAATACTATATGTTCTTACTTTTATGTAGAATCTGAAATAACTGAACTTATAAAGCAGAGAGTAAAATGGTGGCTACCAGAGCCAAAGCCTCAGTTAGACAGAAGGAATAAGTTTGATTTTTAAATCCATTGCATAGCATGTGAATACAGATAATATTTGAATACTGTGCATTTCAATATCACTAAGAGAGTAAGTCTTAAACGTTTTCATTATAAAAAGTACATTGTCATGTATTAGCTACAGAATAGCTTAACTTAGCAAATAAATTTTAGTAGTAGAAAAGTAAGAATGATAAGCAACAATAACAGTGAATTGAGATAAAAGGCAGGCTTCACTGAGGTCAAAGATGCTGCTTCTAAAAACTGCCATTTCTTGTGCTGAGAGAGTTCCTGAGCATGACCCTGCTTAGTAGGATTGGAGCTAGGACACACAAGATGGGACCTGGACATTAAAAAACAGAAAAAACAAACCTCCCTCACTTACACTGTGATTCTGTATTTGTACCAAATACCATCTTTCCTACTCTGCATCATTTTTCTTTCTAGATACTGAAAACGCCTATTCCACAAAACATTAAAAATGTGTTAACTACAAGGTACATCAGAAATACCTCAACCCTACCTCTTTCTCATGCATTCGAGAGAGAAAATGATCATCGTGGAGACTGTTAGACTTCCTCAGGCTGAACTTGGAAGTCATCTAGAGAATCAGAAAAAGTCACTTAATACTTTTTCAGGCCTGGTTTATCCTCAACTTGAAAGTAAACTAACAAAATGCCTGAAACCCACGTCAAAATAATATTAACATTGGAGAAAAAAGTAATTTATTTGCTTTCAAGTGATAGGATTAAAAAAAATAATGCTCCATAATGTGGACCTACACTATTTTCATTAAAAACTTTGTGTTTTATTTAAAAATACCTGTCCCTAGAAAAAGTCCAATGGAATTCTCACTTACCAGAGAAACTGGGAGAGGCTTCTGTCTCAGGTAACGAGGATTTTCTATCTGAAAATTTAAAAATAAAATAAAGAGCTATTAATTTTGGAGTTATTTGATAATTATTTCATAAAATTAGGCTTCTATCTGAAAATGTTTTCTATATGTCTAAATATTTAGTTGTTTTCTAGATGAATATTACATAATACATCTAAGTGAACCTCTAGCAAATAAAAGTATAAAACAAACTCCTTGCATGCATAAATAACACCCTCATGATCCTCTCACTGCCTAACTACCCAGTCTCATCTTCCATTACTTTTTTTGGCAATATTAAATTGTACATAGAAAAGGGTTTCATCATGATATTTCCATAACATGCATACAAATGTACATCATCTTCCATTAATTTCACCTCACATTTTATTCTCTTAAAATCCCCAATGACTTACATTACCAGAACATAGGTCTTTTTGTGTCTCTCTGCCTCTGTAAGTTTGTTTTTTACATTCCTCCAAGCCCCATAAGCATTGACCTATCCCTCATTTAAATCTCAATTTAATTACTACACTCCCACACATACTTAGTATGTGAATCCTTAAACATACCTCTATAATAGAAATACTCTCTTTTGAGACTCTCCCAACATCATATTTTCAGCTTCATCTACCTCATAACATGCCCTGCGTTCCAAGGATACCACTCCCTTGCTTCATCTTGAAAGCACTATACTCTCTCCCATGTCTGACTCTTTGTAAAGTATGAAATCCCTCCAACTTCTTCAAGATTCACTGACTAGAAACTGAGTTCCTTTTACTCCAGTACTACCCTGGACACTCATCCTCTTCTATGCTTTAGGATCTATCTTCTCTAAAAGAATATGGGTTCTGGAAACAAAGACATAGTTGTCTTGTTCACCACTCTATCCCTAGCATCTACCACAGTGCCCAGCAATACTCCTTAGGAACAAAGCAGAAAGAAGGAAGAAAAGGAGGAAAAAAGGAGGGTACAAACCATATCTAGTAACACCCTCCTACCAGCTCCTAAAGTATCCTGTGTCCACTCTCTTAGTTCTAATATAGTACTTCAATTGTTTATCTTAAAGGGGATGATCTCTTTTAAATTTGCAGCCCTGGTATCTAACAAAATATCTAATGCATACTAGCCTTTCAATGAAATATTTATTAAACTACTATACTTTGTGATAAAGTAGCTATACTGATTGCTATCCCAACTATTTCATTCACAAAGTAAAAATTAAAAAATCATTACCACAGTAACCTAATTTCTTCACATCATAAACTCACAATTTACTACATGGATAATCATACAATGTACAAGAACACTAATTATGCCTCCAACCTAAGGTAGTGGTTCCCACCCTGGAATATACACTGTTAGGATTAAATGACAAATTTTTTTGAATATATATTATTCCCATGTTGTTTTCAAAAAGCTTCCCAAATAATCTGCATAATCACAGAAGATGAACAATCCACAGTCATTTGACAATAAAGGTAAAGATGAATAAAGAATCAATTAAGCAAAGAATATAGAAGCAATAGGCTTAAAAACAGAATATAAGTAAGACAGAAAGGGGTCTCTGTATAAGCAGATAGGATTTAAAGAGTAAATGTATTTTAGCATCTAGATTAGAATAAATATACAAAATGATTTTCTTTTACCTGGAGACTAGATCCCATAAGATAATGGCAACTGTCTGAATTTAAATTTCTCTTCTCATTCTCCAAAGACCCAAACAGATCAACAAAGAGAAAATAAAAATGCCTGTCACCCATGCCTCCATCATAGCAAGGAGAAAGAGAATACTAATTCCTGGACAGTAGCCAAATAAAGATCCCAAACCAACAGAATTAGAAAAATGTAAAAGACTACCATGATGAAATTGTATTTTACAATTATACAGACTGAAAAAATTGTTCAAGATGTGAATATGAATTACATTAATACCTTTGCTTTTGGAAAAATTTATTCAGTAAAGATAATAAAGTCTACTTAAACATATATAGAGAAAGACATATTCTTCTGTAAATAGCAATACTATATATTCACAGCTTTGAAAATAGAGGCAGCAAATTTCTAGTGGACAGCAAAGTATAAATATTTATTGTCTGAAGGTATACATATGAAAAGTGAGTAATCATTATTTTGGGGATGCAGAAAACCAGCATACACAGTAAGCTCTTCTAAGACACAGGCAAATCTGCAAACACATAAAACTCTAAAATTCATGAAATAGAATTAAATAGGAGAAAAAAGAAAGAGGAAACAGGAATTTTCAAAGATTCTTAAACCCCAAGTAAGTTTAGAATTTAAAACCCAAAGCCAAGAAAACCATCTGTGACTTATTTTTACACTGCTCTACATTTATAAGCAGGGTACAAAATACTGGTTTAGCTAATTACAATGTAGCATTTCAACTATGCAGAAGTAACTCCTATTTCATCCCCTTCATCTTTAAAAGCCATTAAACAAAGAACTTAAGGACTCATTCTAGCATTATGAATTTCCTTTTTCAAGTTCACCAAAAAAGGGGAAAATGTCTATTCTAATTTTTAAAAGCAGCAATGAACTCAGTGAACTAGTACCAATATTCAGTTGTTGTTACTCATTTACAATACATTGAGTTTGTCTTGTAACCACTCTTAATATGCAATGGGAATTATTCGCAGTAAAGCATGTTCTTTAGTCTATTTGGGGAAAATAAGCAATCTATTTTCTGATTTGTAACAACAGCCAGATGTGCTTTGAAGTTGAATGTTCCCACTTTGTAATCCTCAAGTAATACAGACTTGAAGCAATCTGTAAACAGTCTTAACACTGACTTTTTTCCTGCTCTTTTAGAAAACTTTTTCTTCTCTCATAATACCTCAAGAAAGAATACCACAATAAAGAATGTCCAAAATGGAAGACAAAAGGAACTTATGTGGGCCAGGCTCACATCTATAATCCTGGCTGGTTCAAGTCTATAATCATAGCTTCTTGGGAGGCTGAGATCAAGAGGATTGTGGTTCAAGGCCAGCCCAGGCAAAAATTTCATGAGACTTCATCTCAGTCAATGGCTGGGTACAGTGGTTCACACCTGTATTCCAGCTATGTGGGGAAGCACAAATAGGAAGAGCATGGTCCAGGCTGGCTCAGCACAAACCAACCCTGTCTCAAAAATAACCAACACAAAAAGCGCTGGTGGAATAGCTCAAGTGGTAAAGCACCTGCCTAACAAGCATGAGGCCCTTGAGTTCAAACCCCAATACCACAAAAAACAAACAAATGAGTAAGTAAACAAATAAGTAAAATAAAAATAAAAAGCCAATAGAATCACAACAATAAAGTATATAATAATATAAGTTAGACATTAATACAGATATCTGAAGACTCTAATGAAAACTGGTTTTTGTCATTTTATTTTGTTTAGCTTTTTTTTTTACTATCATATTATTGTAATGGCAGTTCATCATGACATTTACAAAAGTTCTTATAATATATCTTAGTTAAATTCATTCCCCTCCATCATTTTCCTTTATTCCTCCTTCACCCGTTCCTGGAATGGTTTCACAGGTGTCATTTTCCCATTTTCGCACACGAGTACATAATATTTCCACCATATTCACCTCCTTCACCCTTTGCCGATTTCCTCACCCCTCCCTTGTTTAGCTTTACAGCAGGCCTGTTTGAATATATACAGTTTTTCTGTTGGCTGGTGTTTTCAAATTATTTAGGATGTGGTCAAACTGCTATAAACACATATTCTCTGATTGACTACTGTTGATCAACCTTAGCAGTTTTATGTTTCCTGAAAAAGTAAAAAGTTCTTTCTATAACATATATGCACTGACTTAGAGAAAAGGACATTATCATGAAATATATTACCAGCAACATAACTAAAATAAATATCTTAATCATAGAATCAGTCAGAAGAAGAGTCAAAATTCTCTCATGGCAAAAAAAAATGAATTCAGTCTTCAAAAATTATGTTTTAAGTAAATATTTTAGAACTTAAAGAATGTTTTTTTCCACAGAAATAATGCTGCAAATGGAAGTTCATTCACTAGTTTACCAAAAAACATTTTAACAAACATTTAGTGAGCATAAATAATGTACAGAAACAAAAAACAAAGCCACAGGCACATGGAAAAGCAAACAAGCCAAAGAAACAGAACAGAATCAGGCATCCTGTCACTTAATTTATGAGACTAATAACAAGTATGGTACAGCAGGAAAAGAATGGCTTTTCAGTAAGTGGTAGTGTCACCTGAATAACTATGCAGGATAAAAACACACCTTCACTCCCCATCTTACAACATATACCAAAATCACCTATGGATGGTTCACAGATGTACACAGGAAAAGTAAAACAATAAAACTTCTATAAGGAAACAGAGGAACGTCTTTGGGACAGTAAAAGTCAAAGATTTCTTTTAAGAAACTCACAATGGCATTAACTGTAAAGAGAAAAGAATGAGTCAATTAATTGCATTAGAATTTTAAATTTCTATTTTTCAAAACATCAGCAAAAGAATGAAGAAAAGTAACAAAATGGAAGAAAATATTTACCATACCATATCCCAAAGGACTCTTACCCAGAATATATAAACAGCTCTCACATGTGAACACTATTATAAGAAGGCAGACAACCCAACAGAAACTGATAAAGCTATAAGGAGGCACTGCATTCTGAAAGGCTATCCAAATTAGCAATAGACATATTAAATGGCACCTTTCATTATTAGTCAGAAAAAATCATATTAAAAGCACACAATACAATCCACTAACCACTCTCAAGAATGGTTAATTTTTTTAAAAGATTTTTAATTTAAAATGATTAACTGACAAAACCAGTTTTGGAGAGGAAGGAGAGCAATGGCACACATCCTTACCTTCTGGTAAGGATGTAAATTAGCACAAGCACTTGGGAAAACTGTTTGACAGTGTTGAATGTATCCGTTAGCTTTTTGCTATGAGAACAACTCACATCATAATGTCATGGCTTAAAACCAAAATTTTTTTCGGGGGGGGACAGTACTTAGGTTTGAACTCAGGGCTTCAGC